CCGACCTTTAAACTATCCATGAGCCCACAGAAAAACCATTAGATCCTAGCAATACATCCTGTTCTTCTAACTACAGCAGTCAGCTAGCAAAAGGCTCCCTCACTTTATGCCCAAGGGGCCTTTTGACATTTGGTTCCCGTAGCTCCAGGGTTGTGAAGAGTGCTGGCTGGGCCCCGGGCCTAGAGTAAGCATATCTAGGATGGTCAGATAAAGGTGAATATCCATTTCTCTCGCCTTCATGAAACCAACCAACTCACAGAGCCAACAGTATGAACAGTCAAACCAATTCCAGGAAGATTTAAAATACTTTAGGGGTGCTGGGAGAGAGCTCTGTTGGTAAGGCGCTTGCCTTTCAAGCATGAAGCTGTAAACTTGAACTTCAGAAACCATGTGAAAATAGCAAGTTGTGGTAGAATATGCTCGTAATCCTAGCACTGGTGGCTAGATGGATCTCTGGGACTTACTGGTCAACCAGCCTAGACTACTTGGTGAACTCCCAAGCCAGTGGGAGACATTGTTTAAAATAGCAAGGTAGACTGCTCCCAAGGAATGGCATCTCAGGCTGTCCACTGGTCACGGTCATACCTTGTCATACATGTGCACACACATAAAATACTTCAGGCTAATGCACAAGGGATTTAAAAAAAAATCTAGTATTTGGTGAGTATGGTTCTAAACTTGACATCAAATTTAGGAATTGAGTTCTCCTCTACCTCACTTGGGAGGTTGGACCCAACTACTAGTCTCTAGGGTCACCCTGAGGCACTATTCACTGTCTGACTATGGCTTTCATTGAGAGAATATCTTCCCTTCTGGCTCCAGCTTTACACACAGGAGTAAGAATCCCAATGTGTCTCCTCCTACACACATTCCTGTGTCCCTTTGCTTCACAAATACCGCCCCCCCATGTACTTCATAGCCAGAGAATAGAGAAAGTCAGCTATAAACAGGAAGGGTTTTGGAAGCTCACACTTTACCTCAAGTGTTGTCTATAGTTTGCAATGTTATTAGCTATATAGCTGTGGTGATCTTAATATTTAAATGTCTTCCCACTGTGATTGCTTATAGTAAAGTTCAAGGTCAGAGAATGCTCTGACAGGTACAACATCCAAGTATGAGAAGGTTGGCCTACCTACTGGTCCTAGTTTGCCATGGCCCATTTCCTTTAGTCTTTTTTTCACAAGTTGAACTTCTGGAGACAGTATATATAAAAAGTTTGTCATCAGGCCTATGAGTGTTAATTCATCCTGTCTTTCTTGATGGGGTTTCCACTGGACTTCATTCATGTCCTATTGGCTCACTTTTTCTTGATGTCTCCTACCTACGAGCTAAGAACTGCCAAAGCCATTGAGTCAACCATACTACAACATATTATTTGGAGGTCAGAAGGAGTAGACCTAATCTACTAATTCTAGACACCATGTCAGTGGTACACACGTGATCACAATTGCTCTTCACACCGACACTCAAGTATGTATTGCCATCTTCATTACACACACACACACACACACACACACACACACACACACACACACACGAGTGCCATTAGGAAAACCGACATATCACATTTTGATGACTCAGGTATCACCCATGGGACTCAGGAATCAGACCCATGTTTTCCATACCCAGATCCTATCCCCTTTGCTCTGTCCATGTTACTGTATCTCTTGCATTTCTTTTTGCTTGCTAGCCATGGTTTCTTTTGTTTGTTTTCTTTTTCTTTCTTTCTTTTTTTTTTTTTTTTTGAGATAGGGTCTCACTTTGTAGCTACGGTTTCTTTTAGACAATGAAAGAAACAGAGAAGTGGGGTTGAAAGACTTGGTTCTGCTATTACCTGCTATTTGCGGGAGATAGAGACCATGGAAGAAGAGATGGGTTGAAAACAATGTTGAACTGACATTTTCTTATCCTTTCTGGTCCCCATTTACCTTTCAGCCACAGATTTTAAGAAATGGCTGCACAGGGTCCTTGGTGACCTAAATAGGAAATAGATCTCTAAGCCCCTTATATCATCAGCTGGTGCATTGGTCTCATTAATAACTAGGGCTTAATCCTCCACCTTCAAAGAGGCTCTCATTACCCCAAACAATAATTTTTTTAATTACCAAGACAGAGTGGCAATTGCATATTGAATACTAAGGTCGATTTAAAACTAATAAATACTTTTGGAAATTCTTTGAACATTTTAATGAATTAAAAGTTATGAAATATTTATAAGCAGTAACAACACCATTTAGTACCATTAATAAAATAAATACATTAGTCAGAGAATGAAATTCATTACTATTTTACTACTAGACATCGATGTCAATGACAGAATAGTGCTCCAAATTACTTGTAAAATAGACCAATTATTTTAGTGTGATTAATCTTTTCAATTATTTCTTTTATGTAGTTGTAATTTGAAAGTAATTTTCTTCTGCGAGTACCATGACCTCAGCACATTCATTCTTTATTTATTTATATTTAAAAACTCTTTTTGGATCTAGCCTCCATTTTAGGGTGAGTTTCAGTGGTTCAATATTTAAAATAGTAACCCAAGCAATCGTTACTGTTCCCAAGCACTTGACGGGCATTTGTAATTGGCTTTATTAGTGATTATGAGTAAGTCGTTCCAAAGTAAGGAAGTTGTTGCCAAAGTAGCTGTTCACTGGGAGGGCAAGGGAAGCCAACGAAAGACCTTCTTGGTCCTATGGTCTGGCTCTGGCTGGCTGCTTTGGATTCCAATCTGCTGGAAAGGGGCAATGTGAGCTGCATGTCTAATGACTTCCCCAATTTTCCACCATCCCCACAGCATTAAACAATATTAATTCGTTGCAAGGCTTCTAGGGACTGGGTCACAGAGTGATAAAGAAAATGACATTATCAGAGGTTAAAGCCCCGGATGTGGGGGAAAGAGGAACGGCTGCCTTTGAAATCACAAAGCTGATCCAGGCTATTAGAGGCTGCTGGAAATGAGGTAGTTTCCTCTCCACCCCATGGCTCGGACAAGGCACAGATGGAAGGCAGAAGGTGGGTGGGACTCTGCAAACACCCCCTGGGATAGCTGTGCAGAATTATTCTGCTCTGGTTCCAGGATGAGGAGACTCAGCTTAGTCAAGGGACGCTAGAGAGAGGAGGCAGTGGTATTTATCATGCCAGGCACTGGCTAGGAGTTCTGCACACAATATCTGTTTTAATCTCCCAACAAAGCTATAATTATGTATTATTAGCCCATTTAATGATGAAAAAAAAAAACCCATAGATTTAAGAAACTCTTCCAAGCTCACAAAGGTGGTAAGCGGCAGAGCCGAGCTTCCACACTCATTTGGTCTGATTTAAAAGCCCATAATCTCCCTCCTACATTAGGATAAGCAAACCTTTATTGAGCACTCACCATGAAAACAGCACTCTTAGTTGCTAATTGAGACACAGGGATAAAAAAAAAAAAGACTTTGATTCTAGGAAGTTAGCATCTATTGAGTGAGACATATAAATAACTCTGCAGAGAAGTGGATTGTTCTGAAATAGAAAAGCATGGGAACATAATTCTGCAGCGAGACAGAAAATAGTATCTCAGCTGAGATCTGAAAGAAGTGTGATGGCTGCGGAAGACAGCCCTTGCTGCAGAGCACGCATAGAAGGAGCTGGGGAGGTGTTGGGGAAATGTGAGTGGATTTCAATTGCCGGATGAAATCATGACTTGTGTGTGTGTGTGCATATGTGTATACATTCCTGTGTGGGTGGTGTATATGTGTGTGTGTGTGTGTGTGTGTGTGTGTGTGTGTGTGTGTGTGTGTGTGCTTACACGAGGGGGGGGTGTTTCTTGCACACGGAGGCCAGAGGTTGGCGATGGGTCTTGTCCTTAATCTTTCTCTAGCTTGATTTTTTTTTTGGAAACAGAGTCTCTCTTTGAACCCATATCTCATTGGGTTTGTCTGGTTTGCCAGTGAGCCCCAAGGATCGTCCTGGTTCTGCTTTTCAGTGGTGAGATTATAAGCACGTATCACCATGCCCTTTATTTCTTATTATATTAACTTATTTATTTTCAACATGGGTTCTGAGGATTGAACTTAGGTCCCAATGCTTTACTGACATTTTGGCCCTCTCCTTAGCCTGACATAATTTTAATGCTTACTTTTAAGTGACTCAGCCCACTTGATAAAGTAGAGGTAGGAGATTTTGGAAACAGAGAGTTAAGGGGTGTTTTGAAAATAGGGTTCATCCACTACAAATAGGGTTTCTCTGGAGACTGTGACCACATTTTCCCTCTGTCATTCAGTTCCAAGGAACAGACCCAATCTTTGCAGAGTTGACTCAGTCCCTTGAAGTGACCAGCCCGGCTGGCGGAATCTCTCCAACTGGTCTCAGGTGGTTTTTATCACCTACTGTGCATTTGGCCATTAGTCACCATCACCAAGCTATGCAGGGGGCCAAATTGTTCCCGTGAATGGTAGCTTCTCCACGGGAAACCGAGAAGCAAGGAGAGAGCTGCTCATTTTAAGTGGCTTCAGGAAATGGAGGCCCCGAGACGTTTGGCAGCCCATGGCATCCTTTATGTTGCTTCTCTAAGCCGGTTTCTTATTGACCCTCAGGAAGAGAGGTCCATGCCAGGAAAACTATTGACATATTGCTATTCCCATTTTCAATTAAAAAACAGTCAATGTGCCAATTCTGGAGGAGACCTTCAATGTCCTTTCCGATCTGAAGGGTTGACTAGTCTCTGGAGATGAAGAGGTGGGAGAGGACTTAAGTTCGGGTTTTCATGATCTTTCTGAGGGCGACAGTGGAGCTCATTTGGAGGGAGACATCTCTGCAAATGCAGCAGCTGCTTGATATTGCTGGTGCAAATTAAGTATAAGCAGGGAGGTCCTTTGGGGAGCAATGTCCGTATAAAGTAGAATGGAAGATCTTAAAGCCACCGTACCAGATTCAACCCTAGACAGGAAAAACAATTGTCTACTAGGGTCAGTAGGTACTGAGATTTCTATCTCATGGGTAAATGTCTGTTTCATGAACAGGCAGATGCACCAGTGGATGAATGGGGCAGATGGACCAGTGGATGCAGAGATGATGAATCTGCAGCAGAAAGGGGAAGTTTTTTGCTGTCAACCCCAAGACAGAACACCACCGCAATCTCCATGTACAAGAACAGTTTGAGGACCCTTCTGGGGCACAGCTTGCTGATGGAACCCAAAATGCCCAGTTTGGACCAGCCTGCCAGGAGTCCATGGAGTCATCTCTCATTTCATCCAGCTGGATTTTGAAGTCTACCCCAGACTCTGGTTGGCTTCACATGGCTGACCAACCATTTGAACTTGCCTGTTTGGCTTCTCTCATTTCTTCTTATCCCCTCATGGGCTAAGGAGGATGTTCTCCACTGTCCATCATCATCATTGATGGGGCGGGATGGCATAAGTCACCAACCTTCGTCTGAGAACATTCACACTAACTTTATGGCCAGCATACCAAAGCAAGGATCCACATGGGAAAGAATTCATCTCATAAAAGTTATCTTAATATTGAAAGTATTCAGACAAGGTATGAAGTATAACTGGTTTGGGCTTTCATATTTTATATGCGAGCATACAGGATCAGAAAACCTAGATAACATAAGAGCTGAAAACCAAGCTGTCTATTGGTTCTCAAATTGTATTTTAGAAGCCTCATCATGGGGCAGGTCAGCCTGTGGAAGAAGTGGTTCTGACCCTTATTTCTTACAGCAGTTCTACATGTGTAACTTTATAGACTAGACTCCAACGGAAAACTTTTAAATGAGGGTTCAGTTTTTAAACCATGAGTGTAGTTTAAGTGCCTTCAAGGCAGCCCCAGAGAAGTTAAGATAATGTGCGCATCTCCCACCCTGAGGACACATGTTTCCAGGCAACTGTGGTCCCAACACTGAGTGTGTTCTCTTGAATCCCTTCTCCTTCCTGAGCCAGTGAAGTCAGTGAACGAAGTCCTCATGACACTCTCCCTGGAGGTATCAGTAATGTTAGGGACCTAGATTGCTTTTGGTTGAGAAATCTGTGAGCACCTTGAACATGGCTCTGGGCTGGGAAACCTCAGATGTGTTTCTCGCAGGTTCATGAGCGAGACGGGGACTATGGGAGCTGGGAGTAAGATGTATTTAGGCTCCCGCTGGAGTCATTTGCGGCTCCCTCCTTGTTTCACAGAGGTGGGGCCTTCACGGTTCTTTATTTTCATTTTGACCAGTAGGCAGGGGTGCACCTCAAAGGCCCTTGACAATCTAGGAAGGGTGAGGGAAATGCTGAATTGATTTCTTAGAAACACTGAGATCAAAGGTGATGGAAGGGTCAAGTACATTAGCCTGGTCGGTAATGTAATATATCACATTCCAAGGAAAAGCTCTGGGTTTTTCTTCATTACACTTTCATACAGTGAAAGAGGCTGTCTAGATGTCTTCTGTCACCCTTCCAGTGGTGACCTTCCTTAGGAAGCAGCTAAGAGCCAGATGGCTTCCAATGCAATTATCAGCTGTGACTCTGGGGTAATGACTTAATTCGATGGGCCTCAATTTCCCCATCCAACTAACAGATGTAATAATAATGGTACACAGCATTCAGCACTGGAGCAAGGATGAAGGAAACTAATAGAAACACATACACAGAGCAGGGCCTGGTGTTAGGAAGTACTAAATGAGTGTTTATGGTGATGTGTATTTTGTGAGCTGCTCAGAGCTGTGTGGATGGTGTTCACTCCATTTCCAGGATCTGGTCCTGCTTACTCTGTGCTGTGTGGTTTATGTAGGGGTCTCTCTGAAGTCGGGGGTCCATGGAGGAGTGACCTTCTCTGGGTTGTCTGCCAATGAAAGGCTTTTTGTGAATGGGATAAGGGAGCCCATATCTGGGTGTCTCTGGAGGTTGATGTCTGCCTCCACCATACTGAATGTATAAACTGCTCTTTCATGAGCTTTTCCAGGGAACACCTGATTCCAAGCAATTTCTACTCACAGCTACCTTCTTTTGGAAGTAGGTTCTCTGCACTAGCCTGAAGCTATAAAACAGGAACACTATTTATTAATCCATTGATTAACCAATCTGTCAACAAGCATTTATGTGTTGTTTCCTATGTGCTTAGCACTGTGCTAACTGCTCCCTTGAGCCACCAAAGAAATAAAGGACAATGTATTAAACCTCAAGTTAGGGTCCCCCAATGACTAATTGGCAAATAACTGCTAGATTTAGATCAAAGTCTTCCAAGCTGAATTTCAGTAGCTTCCAATGACATATCCCAAGCAAGGAAGTACAGCACAATCCCCATATTATTTTCTGACATGGGAGGAGATAAGGGATTACCTGTGCCTCATTGAAAGGACTGCAAGGAAAAGAAATACTGAGATTTGCAGTGTGAGAACGACGGACAGTAGTCTTAGGGAGACCACCTCACTGATACCAAAGTCTGTATCAGTATACATAAAGGATATAAGAAGAATAAGGCATATGGCTAAGAAAATGAAGTCTGAAGGATAAATTCAAGAGTCTGCAATGTAGCCAGCTGGATGAGGTTGGCACACACCTTTAATCCCAGCACTAGGGAGACAGGGGAATCTCTGGTTTTCCAGGACAGCCAAAGCAACACAGAGAAACCCTGTCTTGAAGCAAACCAACCAACCAACAAACAATAACAAAGAGTTGGCGATGTAGCACCCGTGTGGGCACAGATAGAATACAAGGCGGTAGTAAGATCAATGTTCTGGTCAATCTAGTGTAGGGATCAGAGGAGCAGGAAGGAGTTGAGAGAATTCTACGGCATCCAGTAAGTAACAGATCACACTCCGGCATCTGCATTGTCTACAAAGGCAAGAGAGTGTCAAGGATGAGCCAGTGGCTTTGTGATCAGATCAACTTTGGATCCAGTCTGGCTCTATGTTTTAGAGATTTGGGCAGGTCTTGAGACACCCGTGACTTTCAGTTTTCCTGCTTGTGAGATAAGAAATGTCCCTGCTCTCTATCGTTACTGTAAAGCTTGTGGGGGACAGTACACACGAAGGGGAGTGGACACTTAGCCACGGCATATGTTAAGTGCCCCGTCAACATTGGCGTGCATTAATTGAGCCCCGATTAAGTGCACACACTGTGACAGATGTCAATATTCAAAGAGGAAATAGGTACATCTGTCTTCCTGAAGGCACCACAGATAGATGCTGTCTCCTTTGCGGGGAGAACTGTGCCCAGCATCTCCTGTTAGTTTTCTCCAGATGAGCTAAAACAATGCTCTTGCTCACTGGGGCCAAGGAAGAGGTGTAGAGTTATTTAGCTGTGTTTTCCTTCAAACTTTATCTGTCCCTCATTATGAGGGGGGGTCATCAAGTTACAATTGGGTAATAGACTAGACAACTTGCAGACCCCTCTAGAGCCCTGGCTAGCATGTCACCAGCTCCATCCACACCTCAAGGACATTATTTTTCTCCTCCTCTCCATCATGACCTAACCAAAGCCATGACCCCAGAAAACACAGGCACTGGTCTATAACACACAGGCCTCAAGTATGTACCGAAGCATCCTGCTAAATCCCCTTGAATTTTAAACACATGAATGCAGTTGTGGGATGCTTCTTATGTTGGGAACTTGTCTACATCATCTGAACTTGCTCCATTATGGGATGAGGGATGGAAGTGCTTAGAACGTTCTTATATTTTTGCTTGTGAGCCTAGCCTTTAATGGCTGAGCCATCTCTCCGGCCTGCTCAGAACATTCTAACACCACTGTTCTCTGATGTATTTTCTCACATGCCCACAGCAGACCCTCCACGCGCATTGGTAGCTAATGCATTCTGGGTAGAAAAAGGGGGAGGGGTGCACAGATCAACTGTTTCCCCATGAAGACCATGTTGTCCTTGGACTTGGAGCCTCCGGGCCTAGAGACAGGGAGGTAGCTGGACTGTAAGGACCTCCCCAGGTTTCCTGACCAGGAAGAGGCAGAAGAGGGTACCCTGCAGAGGTAATTTTCTGAGTCATGGAAAAAAATCACTGAAGGAGGTGAGGTCCTTTGGTTTTGCAAGGATGGAGAAACAGACAAGGAACAAGCTTAAGCTCTGCAACAGATTCACTGCCACGTAACACAAGCCCCGGGGGAGGCATTCTCTAGGGGAGAGGGGCTTGCAAAGCAAGGGACGAAACATCCGTGTAACTCAGCTGAAATTCTTCATTTGAAAATGCAAAGAGTCTTTGCAGAGCCAGGCAGGCTGGCAGTGTTCTGTGCTGGGCCTGATATCAGGGCCTTTGTGCTCAATTGTTTTCTTTCCTGATGATCTTTTTTTTCAAATGGGATTATGCCATTTGTGTAAACTTAGGTCTTTTCTGTGTGGCAGTTTCATTAACTGGTTACTTTCAACTGAGGGTGCCTTTTGGATGAAACAGACCCTTAACATCTGCGAAGCTTGATGGTGTCCAGAGACCTTCACAGATCCTTAAGTTCAAGAATGTGGAAACATTCACGCACACTCCTGGCTCAGTCCCAAACCACATGCTCCTCAGGCACTACCTCACAGCACAGGTTAACCACCCTTTTCCACTACAACCAGTTCAGTCTTTCACATCATGATGAGTTTTCTTTGCCCCACAGAGAACTCAGTTTTGACTAAAACAAGACCAACACAAAAATTCACTTGTGAATGTTCTTGCAAGGCCATCGAGGAATGGAGAATCACCTCAACCAACAGAAGGAGTAGAGAGACACTGTCCCACCTCACAACTAAGAGCACAAGCTTCCAACCCAGGCCTTTATCCACAGCCGATGACCCTCAGAGCCTTCATGCATGCTCACAAATATTATAAATTGAGAATTAAGGTCTAGAAGTACCACACAGGCTGCTTTCCATGCTTCATTCTTAGGATGCTCAGGTCACAGCATCCCTGCTCGAGAGTGCCCTTCCGTGGACCTCTGAGCAGAAGCAGGAACAGGAGCATCCTAGCAGCAATGAAAGCGACTCCTCCCTGAAACCGGCCTCTACTCTGTACATCTGGGAAGGAGTAAAAGATGCTTCCGGTAGACAGGGGCCCTTCTGATGAGCCAAGGGGAGCTCAGCCTCACATATCTACTGACAGTTTGTGTTAGTCTGTTTTGCATTCAGACTTGAAACAATGTTTAATGAAACACGCATACAAAACAGGATGTTGAAAACCAGGCTAGGAGACTCAAACCCTGTAAGGGGGAGAAGAAAAGCTCATCACAAGCCTACAAAGATTTGAATGCTGCGATGGAGTATTGCATTTGGTTCGGTTTCCTGGACGCCAAGGTAAAAAGGAAAAAAGAATAAAAGCTTACCTTGAGGTAAAGTCACAATGTGGCGTCTGAGCAAAAGAAATTCAATGACACAGTGGGCCATGCCCACTGGGCTTGCACAAAAATAAGATAAATTTCCACATCTAACCATTTCCCGTGTTGTCTGTTAACAAGAGCCCAGACAAAAACCAATAAAATCACTTCTGAATTTTACCTCCAGAAAAAGCCAAATAGTGATTACCATTAAGTTATCAGGAGGGCAGGAGGTGGATAGAGATGTAGATAAAACAAAAGGACAGACTGTTGCCAACTGCTAAGTTGGGCTAAGGCTGCTAGATGGGGATTCATGTACTATTCTGTTTCCTTGGTGTCCATTTACATTTCTTATAAGAAAATATTATTAAGTAGGGGGAAGCATTTGTCACCATAGAAGTTAAGCTAGCATATTATCTAAGAAAGGCTGTATTCCATTGGATAAAGTTGTTTTTTTTTTTTAAGATTTATTTATTTATTATGTATACAGTGTTCTGCCTGCATATATGCCTGCAGGCCAGAAGAGGGCACCAGATCTCATTACAGATGGTTGTGAGCCACCATGTGGTTGCTGGGAATTAAACCCTGCAAAGGGGAGGTCTTCAGGACCTCTGGGAGGACAGTCAGTGCTCTTAACCTCAGAGCCATCTCTCCAGCCCATTTGATAAAATTTTAAGATAAGTAGCTACAACTTTATTCTGGAGTTCTTTGACAATTGATCGCCTGGGCTAGGGCACACTTGCTAATGCTCAGAATCAACTCCTAATCACTGCAGACTTTGGATTCAAGCTAAATACAATTATTGAAGCATTCAAGACAGGCTGTAGAGGAGAGAGAGAGAAAGAAAGATAGATTCATGTACCTTCACTGCAGTTCTTCAGGGCAAAGAAGTCCACTGCAGACAAGCTGTGGTTTCCACTGGAGATGTATTCTAGGGCCACTCGAAATGGGTTCTCTGGACGTCCGATTCTTCCATGCAGCACAGTCCAGCTGGATGCATTGGAAGGCAGAGGAGGAAAGCAGAGGAAGACAGTGATGAGAAACCAGCCTAACCTGCAGAGAGGGTCACTTCTCTGCAGTGAGTTCAGGTATCCCATTCTTCTTGGGTACTAAGAGATGGACCCACAAATGGTACTGAGGACAATGACCCTCAACATGTAAACATCTGTTTCATTCCTGTCCAGTGAACTCAGAAACCCCATTCTCAAATTTACTGTAGACAGTGGCATTTCTAGACAATTGCAAATCTTTGAAGTAGTTCTGTAGCTAGTCTCATAGAGGAAGGACATTCATCCGTGAGATATCCTGGCAGCAGGAAAAGTTTACCAATCTGTTCAGAATTATTTCTTTGAAACAATACTTGGTTTTGGCATGCCCAAAATCTCATCATCCCCAGGTTTGCTGTGTAGTTACTTAAGGGAAGCTAGTGAGAACTATTTATTTATGGCTGTAAAATTAAAGTGCACTGAAGCATGTACTTTGGGGTAGAAGGTATCTAAGATTGACATGGACTCCGAGAAACAGTGCAAACAGAAGAATATGGAAGCAGGTTAGATGGTGAGCTCTGTATCCATCTGTGATCTCAGATGCTGACCCTGCCAGAGAGCAGAGGATTAGCTAAAGGAACATTCTTACACCATGCTCAGGCTATTAACCTCTCGGGATAGCCTCCTGTCACTTATTGGAACATCCAATTTCCTTTTCAACAGTGACTCAGATATATATCACACTATACATACATATATCTATATATGACAGAGAGTGAGAGAGAGAGAAGGAGAGCATGTATTTATTTATAATTGCATATTTAAATAATAGTCTGTGAGGAATAGAACTTATCTGGATTATTTTGTTCTTTCTTTAAAAACAATTACATTGAGGTATAATTAGCACATTATAAATTGCTCACACTGAAAGAACATCATTTGATAAATTAAAGCATAAAGAATTAGAGATTTTTGACTTGGGTATATACCACGAGATCATTACAATATTCTATATTTTCTCACTACTAGGTTGGGCTTAAGTATGGTAATATAAAAAGCAAGGGATATTGAATGTGTCTGTGTGTGGGGGGGGGACTAAATTTTTGTTTGAAAAATTTTAATCCCTCACACCAAACTGTACAGTGATGCTTACTGTAAAAATAGTAAAAATGAATCAAATTAAGTCTCCAGTAATCCCAAAAATTCAAATAACTCAAGGCATCCGTTGCCTGGAGACAGCCATAGTCACCAGGTCGGCGTACAGCCTCAGCTGTGATTGTACACAGTGGCACTACCCTACATGTGCCTGTCTGTGACTGCACATTCCCACTCAATGCCTGTCTGGAGGTGATAAACACCGATGAGGTTCTCATTCACGGATTGTGTTCTTAACAACTTGGACATTGCTTCTGCTTTCTTCTCTGTCACGATTGGGCCAAAGCTATCTGTATAAATTACTACAATCAGGGTCAAAGTACGTGTTTTTTTAAACTCTGAAGTGTACTCCCATTTACCGCAATGAGGCTGATGGTCCATTTCTGCATTTTCTTACTAACAGCCTTTCCTGTTCCTTCTTTCCCATGTTTGCTTTTTCTTTTACGTGTGTGTGTGTGTGTGTGTGTGTGTGTGTGTGTGTGTGTGTGTGTGTGTATGCATGTAGGTGTGTGTGTGTAGGTCAGAAGTTGACACTGGGCATCTTCCTTAATCATGTTCCACCTCAGTTTGTAAGACAGTTCCACCTCTTTGAACCTAGACTTGGGCATTTTGGCTAGACTGGCAGGTCAGGGGGCTCTGGGGATCTGCCTGTCCCTGCTTCACAGCATTGCCTTTGCACACAGATGCCACACTGACCTTTTATCCAAAGCCAGGCCCTTGTTCTCCCTTGGAAGGCATTTTGCCAACTGAGACACTTCCCCAGCCCTGCCTTGGTTCACTTTTGGTGAAAACGGTATTGCTTAAGGCAGTATTGACGCTTCTCAAAGGTGTCTCCCAAGTGGCAGTTTTCTGTCTTGGGTCCCTGCTAGGCGGGGTTGTGGGGCATGAAGTGGATGTCTGTTGAACGAAGTGAGAACTTTTGTTCCGTCTCTATGCTTTTCTGTAGTTAATTCAGATCGCTAGAGTCAAGTCTTCAGCCATTTAATAAAAGTGTATTAAGTTTCCCCACAATAGATGCTGTAGAAGGGATTATTGCCGCTGTAAAGCTTGTTCTCTGTTACGGTACCCAGCAGGGTTTCCATCCCAAATAAAACCAGTGCAATTGAATAAGAAAAAGGAAGCTTTTCAGTTTAAATGTGGAACTGTCAAAGAAAGAAATATTTGAAAGGAAAAATGTAACGAGGGGTTCTTAAGGAAAAGAAAAACGAGTAAGCAGAGAACACAGAATCCACCGTGTTCTTCTGAAGCATAAAGGACTATGGTTTTAAGGAAAGATGGTCTTGAAAGGTGTAAGTATTCTCCTATTCTGCCCAAATCTCAGCTCTGCACTCCGAGGAATGATGGATTTTAATTCCAGGTACACAGTGGCCCTTGATAGTGATTTCCATTTCTGGATTGGTGCTCGCCCTCGGGATAAACATGTCAGGAGTTTTAGGGATTAGTTTCTGAGTTACCGATGCAATAACTTTTGCTTGAAATTCTCTGGCCTTTCATAGTTTACTGCTACAACTTTAATAACTTTCAGAGCAGTTGCCAAACATGTATTTTATATCCAGGGAAGCTGGGACTGGGAAAGGGCAAGCTCGTACCTAGGGTCAAATTTGTTCAAGAGACAGTCCCAAAGCCCAGCGAAAAACAGATCTGAGTTCTCTTCTCTCCCAGCTTCCGTCTCCTTCGCTTACCTCCCAGTGGTCACAAAACCGGCTCATTAGGGCCCCACTTTCCATGTTTTGACTGTTGGCAACTCAATTTATGCTGAAAGGGGAAAAGGTTGTATTCTGACCTAGAACCTTCTGGAAACAGATGTGCAACTGTATCCATGTGCTGGGGATTGGTGACATTCTAGGACGGGCACTACAATCAATCAATCTGACAGGGTGGGCGTCCACCTGGACCTTAGGAAGCCAGACAGATTGCCTGGACAGCCTGTCACCATCCATTATCTTCCACATGTCTCCCTGGAACTCTCCAGTTCCCCATCCTGCCTCTGCCTCTCATTTGCCTGATGACTTTGAATGAGACACTTTTCTGAAAATGTATAAATTTGGCATGTTTTTCCACCAATTTTATTCTCAAGCAGAGAAAATGTCTCCAATTTGCATGACTTTTTTTTTTTTTGAGGAAAACCCTGACCACCCACTTTTGCTTAGTGACTGCAGCATGATGAATAAATTAGAGGCTATCAAAGACCCTCTAAGTCAACCAAACAAATAAACAAGCAAAAAAAGCCAGGAGGGTTGGTTTATGAATACCAAGGTCTATTTCTAACCTGAGGGAAGAAGTGTTTGCTTCTGGTTTGGGACTTGCTTGGACTTGGACACTTTTCCACACCTTCTTGGGTGTAAGTTTCTTCATTAGCAAAATGCAGCCATTGAGATGCAAGTTCTCGATGGGCCTTAATTGACTGATGTTTACACATCTCTAATGTTTCACAGGACGCCTGGTGACATGACATT